AGTTCTGCTCATGTGTAGGGGATCGTAAGTTCATGGCCGAGAAGCCCCTCGCATCTTGCGCTGCTTTGACGATTACATTTTGCAAACAGTGAAATCGTACAAAGCAAAGCCTCTATGAATTGTTTTAATGAAAAACGACGTACCTTCTAACACTACTCTATGCATGCTGAAAAGTAAAAGCAAGCAATACCAGTTATGCTCTACATATTTATTCTTATACTTAATTTACTACTACTTTTACTAGTTCTACTCGCCATATAGTGTACAAATTTTTAAAATTTTAATCGCACTCCACGAAATGTAACAAGAATGCTAAAATCACCGTGTCAGTAAAATAATAGCTCTAACACTCTAAAAGTTAGCATTAAAGCAGAATAGCAACAAATGGGAACAATTTTTTTTGTGCAAGAATCAGTAGATTTTCACGCACACCGCCGTTTGAACGACTTTATTCCTGTGTAGTTAATATTATATTTATCATTCGCTTCACACTTATTCTTATTAATAATACTTATTAGTACTGACAAAGCACCCAGTTCATCCAGTAGCAATAGAATACAGACCGATATATGAATTACGGTCCGTTAAAACCTACGCTGCATGAATTTGACGTAAGTCGGATTTCACCGACCTCCACTCGTTAATCGTCACTTCCTGTAACTCAAGTGCTACAATAGTAGTACAATAATACGTTTGAAAAGTTATTTCAGTTTGTTTCATTCACAAAATGAACACACAAATTAGATTTCAATATCTAATTATTCATGCAAAAAACCTACTACAATACATACATAAAAACAACACCGGTATTACTGATTTACCAGTAAACTGCTAGTTTACAACTTTGTCGATAAGAATAACAATCACCTGTCAATTCTCCAGGATCACGCGGAGTAATCACACCGTTCCCTAACTTCTAATAGCCAATGTTAAATTTGGCCGTTCGACCATGGCTGAACATTGGGTTCTTCTTTGTCTTCACAAATCACTCCATAGCAAGCGAAAACGTAATTGATTTCTGAATAATTTTTGAAGAACTGTGAGACATTAGGACACATCTTGAACGGTCGTGCCATTCTTGCCGAGATCTAACGGAACGTGATGACTGTCATTTCGGTAGTCATGAATCGTTTCGGCTCCATTTCGAAGCGTCAACTACAGCGAGTTTGAATGCCCTTAATTCAATGAATTCTTTATGTGCATCAATCAGTTCTTTGATATGCTGTTCATACCCGCTTAGACGGGCAGCATCTTTCACAGCTGTACTGACTGTTGATGGTGCGACACCAAGATAACTTCCTGTGGTCGTTCAGCTTAATCTACCTTCAAGCATGTTCAAAAATTTCTTTTCATCTTTAGATCAATTTTCGTGCAATTTACGAATTGCTTCACTTTTTCCAATCAGGATTGTACCCTACCAGAGCAAGCAAACATTGTAAATAAAAGAATACGAATGCAAATAGCGCAGCTATCTGTTCAACGCGAGACTGAGGAAGGTACGCTATGCACTACGATCTGCCCGCCTCGGGGAAGACCGCAATGTGGTGGATTGCGAAACTTTAAATTTATTCCATAATCCTTGTTAAAAAGATTTGCCTAAGTTTGAATTTACGTAACTCATGGCTAGTCTGTAAACGTCCCTAATACTGAACTCAGTTATCAAAGAAACACGTGTCATCTCGCACACTCAACGACAGTTCAAGGACAAGCGCTTACGACAGATCTTCAAGTACTTCTCAGAAAAAAGCTATACCCTTCCACAAACCAATGTCCTACTTTTGTTTCAGTTCCAATTCCGGGTGCAGTTTTCGACGAAAGCGCGGAAGCAGTTGCTGCAGCAGCTCTTTGACAGATTCTCGATCGCGCAGCTGACCCTCGGAACCTAACGGATTTAGGAACTGGAATGTAGTATTGGCGCCATTCTGCAAACATATTTGCAGCTGGACCTTGAGTTTGTTGGCCGGAGAGACTTTTTGTGCTAAAATTAAAAAAAATCACAGTGTCGAAAGCAAAATAATCAAATGTAAAAACTTTATTAGAAACAAAAAATTATAAATGGACACGTCGTCAGGAAGTCATGATAACCCCAATAAAAATGGCTGTTTTGCTAAGCTAAATGTGACTAGGCTTTGACGAACAGCTTGCATTCTTAGCGAAAGACCGGAGTATTGAAGAAACCTAATTATAGTGCTACCTGCAACCAAATAAGTAACACCACGGTCTGACTGAATATTAGGAAATCAGTCATGCATGCCCCAGTGCCTTCGAGTATACAGTTCATCACATGCCTTCAGGTTTAACCCATAAAGTACTATTTTCACACGTTTCGACAGCAAACCTTAAGTTAATCGACTGAACATCTGACCATCTCCATGACCACCTTAAGGAACTAAGGCGGGGTTACACTCACTAAGATAGGAGATCCCATCTGCGCGGCTGAAATACACAACATAACTGTTCTTCGTATGGTCAGACTTAAATTCTAGCTTCGTCTGGTTCTGCACTCGTCGATCGAGTGAAATATATAGCCATATGATAATCTGCGCAACTTTGAAACTGCCGAAAGTGCTTGCAGGTGACTAACACATAGACACATAGATAGCCTATATAATTATATATCGAGCACTTTGCTACAGCCACAGAAGAAGCGAAGGAGAGAGAACGAAGAAATGAAAAGAAGGATGGATAGAGGGCTGGAAAGGGACAAGGAAACAGAAGAGAAAGACAAAATCAGAATAGCAGTAACCATTTGAAATAAAGCGTTTGTACAACTCACCTTTAATATCTTCATACTTGTGCACGATAGTCGTTCCGCCAATCGTACTGCGCCAGATCAACCGATCCTTCATAACTGTCAAGATTCCTTCGCCGAACTTTCGACAGGCAACGTTGTCTACGTGTAGCAGGAGATCATCCTGGACAGCGTTCTCGGTTTCCATCAGTCACGCGTGAACCACCCACGAACAACATCTAGAGCAAAGTAAAAATGAAAATAGTAAAAAAAATGAAACTGAGCAACGGTTCTAATAAGTACATGGAAAGTAGCGAGAGTATCGCGCGGATGGGCATCAAGGGAGGAAATTCTATAAAGACTACAACAATATTATAAAACGGTAAATGTTGCCGAGCTTATATAACTAACTAGAAACAAGTACCAAACTTTCACTATAGTAAAAACTTTCAAACGTGTAACAGGAGAGAACGTCGAGTATACAGCATCGCAATAGTTTTCAAAGAACGTACAAGTAGTACGTTAGCTTATGCAAATTTATGAATAATCCATCGTTTTAACGTTGCTCCGCATTTAAAATTTAGGAAAGTTGAAAATTTACTATTTAAAGGCGGTCACAGTTAACGGAACTTCTCAGCATAGGCAAGACGGGATAAATAAATATATAGCATAAAAAAGCTAAACGATAACTAAGATAAAATAGTGACTAGAAGAAATGCAAAGGATATCACATATTAAGTAATAACTTCCTGGACCAAAACAGAAACAATACAACACTATGTCACATTGAGCATATCCAAGTAGCGCTGACGGACAGAGCCCAGGTGCCTGCAGATTTGCACTGAAGTTGGGTCCAACGGATTTTCCAAACAGTTCTTCGGTTCGAGAAAACTGCGAGATGTGAAAATTTACTGTTATGTGAGAGATTAATTCAATGGTCTTCACGCTTTTTAGGGCATTGCTCCTCATATAAATTTTATTATACATAAATTACCGACGACGTTTCGAACCATACTCCGTTCGCTGACAAAGTACAATGATAAAAACATATGAGGATAACAGAAAACAAAACACTGTTAGCACACCCACAGCTATCTGGGCGGTAAAGAACATTAGATTTTGAAAAATTACATAAAGGCAAAGATATTTAAGAACACTCTGGTATGATATATGCCTGGGCATTATCTGGAAGCTAGTTGTAAACATTAATCTCTTATCCATGACGGAGCCGAATTAGACCACAACGATCTGGCTTTTATTAAATCTGTTTTAATTATTAGTCTGACAACCAGTCAAGTACGACTCTCGAAACGTTCTCAATTTTGTATGATGCGTCATGTCGTCATCTGAGATATTACGACCAAGGACCGAGTACCAAGAATAATGATATCTGACGCTTTCACTTCTCAGAAAAATTCAGGCGATCTGGTTGGCTCCACAGGTCAGAACGTTTAACACCGAGAAATTTGACCTTCAGCCGCAATTTACAACAAAATACATATGCCGAGCAATCCAATAAGAAATATGAGAAACGAGACCATGGCCTTGTTTCTCGCATAACAGATAAATGTTGAATTTATATTTCCTAAACTGCTGTTCCTAACGTTTATTGACAGTCGTGGGATCGGCAAGAGCCCAAATATCAATTC